GGGAGGCTTCATAGCCTCAGATCTCCTTTCAAAATTCCATTTTATTTATTTCCGCCCATTTTTTTCTCGTTTAGGGCAAAAGCATTCTTTTACTTGGGGACCATACGCCGCTTTTCATGGAATGGCACTACTGTGTCACATTGAGGGTTCCATGATAACCGCCGTATGAACACATCTGCGGATGTTTCTAAATTCAAAATTTCACTATTTTCGTGTTAAATGTTGAATTCTGCTTAAGCCGGTGCTAGGGGGCGTGGACGGTAACTTGCACTTTCCAATACCGTCCATGAACAGGCTCAATCAAACCGAGCCTGCAACATTTTCAATTTTGTTGTGTTGGACTTTCTTTAGGGATTCTGTTTTTCTCTATTTTATGTCTACATGATACTGCTCCATCACTGCACTGCTCATTGATCAATTGCTTACGTCACGTTTTTCATTAAAAAATCTCATTTACGGTTTGTTTTCACAGAAGACTTTGGTAACCATCGGTCGAAGGCTGGTCCAAGCCCACGGTATCTAACTTGCACTAAATGACCCTTCCCTGATTTTTTAGTCCTAAGTACCTTTTCAATTTCCCATTCATTTAAGTTTTCGAGATTCTTCCGCACGCGTTGCAGTTCCGGTTCGTAAAACGTTGAATCTATTGGCTTTTCTTCCAGATCCATGAGATAGTATACCGGCAAGTTATCACGGTAAACCCGCCCACGAATGCGGTAAATTTGTGAAGTGAATTTTTGCGTGTAAGATCTTTCAAACGTTCGCTTGGCCAAACTGATTCTGATCAGGTCCCCGACTTTGTACTTAAACAATCGCACTTTTCGCCGCCTTCCATTTTTTCCAACACTTGCATTTTCTACGTACATAAGGTTCCATAGTTTTGCTTGGTTAGATTGTGTTACCTCGGCTGGACTAAGTCCAAATAGAGAAGAATGCACGCGGTGATTGTAACTGTGCACGAGCTTTTCAAGCACGGGAACGTATGAGAATGACCTATTCTCATAACACCACTTGTATATAGCGCCTTTTATTGTCTGGTTAAAACGCTCAACCGGTTGACATTTCAAGGCTGATGCGCTAAAATACTGTTTAATCCCTAAGCTCCTTAAAAGTTCGGCCACTGGCTTGCACCGGAATTCCGTGCCCATGTCCGATCTACACCGATCGGGTTTTGGACCTGACGTAAGAATCATTTTTAGGGCACTGGCCACCTCAGGACCAGTCTTAGACCGCAGAGGTCGCACAAAAGCATACCTGCTAAACACATCTATCACAGTGAGAAGATATCTGGTTCCCTTGTTGAGCCGGAAGCGCCTCATTTTTGTCATGTCACATAAATCCATGTCATATTGCACATGAACACCACTCACTCTTATTTTGTTTCTCTCAAATCGCCTGTGAACTCTTCTAGTCGTGCTGTATGTATCTTGCGATTCTAAAAAGTCTGCTATCTCTTTATTTGTGAGTTTAAACTTTCCCTCCCTGTCAGTTTCTCTTTTCAGCCGCTGTTTTCCGCCAAAACTTGCCGGATGAGAAGGATCGGTGTATATACGCTTAAGATACTCCAGTTTAGTTTCTTTCTCTGTCTGCCTCATTCTTTTCTCTCTGACAACGACAGATTGTTGCCTAGCATGCGCTTACTGTACTTCAGTCCTGGCGCCGGAAGGACACAGCCAATAGCAGAAGCTAAGAGTGCAATCCAAAGTTCATTATTAGGCCCGTCTGGGAGAATAGAGAGATTCACTGCTGCAACAATTATGATTAAGTAAATGGCAACTATCTGTGCAAGATATGTTACTCGATTTTTTGGGATCCTTTGAGCGGACACCAAGCAATTAACACTAGATTTACTACTACTACCCAGATATGAAACCTCCTCAACAGGCTGCTTCGCAGTAAGCGGCCTAGCAAAGTCACTGTCTTCAATACTGAGTGAAAGATCTTCTTCAATCTCGCCACCTTCGCTGAGATAAATATTAAATTTGTTTTCATCAGTAGTAGAAGCAGCAGCAGCAGCAGCAGCAGTGGCCATGTTTATGATTACTGTACCGATTTAGTATATATTACACTTTAAGTAATATTTATGATTACTGTACCGATTTAGTATATTACACTTTAAGTAATACCTTAATCAATAATTCAATATGCAATCTAATTGTTTAATTTCTCAATACACTATTGACATTACATTCATTCATTCATTGCGCTTCATTGTAATCATTAATGATGATGTCACCAATTTTCAACAAAAGAACCATTGTCCCAGGTGATTAGCATTATCATCAAATTACAAAAGAACCATTGTCCCAGGTGATTAGCATTATCATTCATTTTCAAAAGAACCATTGTCTCGGGTGATTAGCATTATCATTTAGTTTCAAAAGAACCATTGTCTCAGAAGATTAGCATTATCATTAAGTTTCAAAAGAACCATTGTCTCAGGAGATTAGCATTATCTACTTATCTCGGATTAATTCGGATTAATTATATCATAATCTTGTCTCAATTTCAAAAGAACCATTGTCTCTGGGGATTAGGATTATCTACTTATCTCGGATTAATGACGTCACTAATCTCGGATTATCTTATCTTCCATATTCCAAATTCCACTTTTTCAAATTCCGAAAAATCAAACTCATAATGTATATACTATTATAACATCTTAAAGTTTTTTGTAACCATCTTGTGACAGAAATTGATTGACATGATAGAGTGAAAATTACTTGCAAGACCTGGAATGCCAGAAAATTGATAAACAACAAGGTAATCAAAAAATGGTGGCATTTAATACGTATAGTCTTCAAAGATCATCAACAGCATTATACATGGCAAGTAACTAAATCATAGATAAAGAGTCATGTTAAGTAAGCTGGGGAACCATCGCTTCAACTTCGTCGAAAAAAGCTATCACTTCAATATGCAACTAGAATTTCATCAAATAGCAAAAATCCAGCCAAAAATAAAACAAACCAAAGGAAATTAAACTATTAGGCCTCCGTTTAAAAGATGATCTAGATAAACTTAAAATTAATCCTGTCAGTATCCTTCAAAATGACGATGAGGATGTTCCACCTTGGAATTATAATTCCCCTGAAATAAATATTAACCTTTCAAATATAAAAAAGACATCAAATTCACATGAACATTTCAAAGAGAAGTTTCTAGCAATTAAGGAAGAACATGAAAATTTTATACATGTTTATACGGACGGTTCAAAGGAGGGTTGCAAAGTAGGTGCGGCTGTGTATGAAAATGATTTTACATCTAGTATGAGGTTACCAGATAATGCATCAATTTTTACTTCTGAAGCAAAAGCTATAGATTTAGCATTGTCATACATAGAACAGCATGCTACCCATGATAAATTTGTGATATTTTCTGACTCGCTTTCTGTTTTAATATCCATTAAAAATAAAAAATCTGACAATATCATGATAAAGAAACTTCTTTTGTGATTTCATGATATACTTAAAATAAAATCTGTTAAATTATATTGGATTCCAAATCATGTAGGTATACAAGGAAATGAAAAAGTAGATGCTTTAGCTTAACAAGCTTTAAATTTTCAAAAAACTGACTTATTGTTACCTGCTTGTGATTTTAGAACGGCTATAAATAAACTCGTTTCATCTGAATGGAAAGCAAATTGGGACAATGCCGTCTTTAATAAACTTCATGATATAAACCCATCTCTTGATGTGTCACCATCTCTGTCTTTGTCAAACCGCCATGATCAATCAGTTCTTCTTCGATGCCGAATTGGACACACTAAAGTTACCCATTCTTATCTCCTCACGAATGACAATGCCCTTTCTGTGTAGGCTGTAATGAAAATTTTTACTGTCAAGCATTTTCTTCTGGAATGTCATGATTTTTCACAGGCCCTAACAGATTTTATAATGTAAACTCACTCAAAGAACTCTTTAATATAATTCCATCAAAAAACATCGTCGATTATTTGAAAGAGATAAACTTGTATTCAAAGATTTGATTGGCTCTTTTTTTATTTTTATTTACAACGTTTTACATAACAGTTTAAGCCTATTTTAGCATTCGGCACGATATGGCCATTTATGTGTTGACGTGCCGTAAAATCCAAACAAACAAAAGTAACATTTTAAGTTTCAGTTACTATCATGCATGTCAATCAATTCGTTTTATGTATAAACGATTAAACGATTTAATATGTAACAATGTTGCAACATTTAAATCAACATTTAAAACAAAACGTTAATGAAACCAGAAACAAAAGATGGAACTAAAATCATTTTGATTGTAAATAATTGTAAACAATTAAATAAAGACAGGATTCAAAAAAAATATTTTTAAAGTGCAATGTTAGTATGAAATTGTACATCATGGAACATTTATTTATGTAAATAATAACAATCGTAAAAAAGTATCAGAATGTATAAACTGAGATTCGAAGATCATCCCGTATCGGGATTAATGTAGAACCATTAATATTTGTTATGATTACAAATGTATTACATCTGTACATAAAACATTAATTGGACATGAATATTTAAGTGAGTAATGGGTAACATTTGGTCATAAATGTCTCTTAAAATATGCTTTATCAATAACAATTGTTTGAAGACATAACAAATGCGGCATTAAATCTCCCATTATGAGAATGCACTGCTTTCATTTTGCAATTACCTAATACAAAAACATGCGTCATTCATTATTAGTATGTGCGTGCTCGACAAGAGGTCATGGAAAAAAAGAGTTGATAGACCAATAAGAACGTTTAAACATCTAAACAAGTTGTTATATTGCAACTAAGGTTAGGAATAAAACACCTTCTTTGATTTATATTCCTTGGAATTATTTCTAATATAAGACTATGATTGAAGTGGCATTTTCACGTAACTCATAAACAATTCCAAAATTATTCTGGTACTTTTAATTGAAAAGAGAGAAAACAGTATATTTTATACTTAATGCAATTTTATATTTTATCTGAAACATTCTTATTGTTAATTTTTGGTAAATGTCCATAATCATTCGATAATCAAGTTCTATATGTCTTGACAACAAAAAAGGGCATAATGTCACTTTAATTCAATAAAAATATTTTTACTAGAAGGGTTTTTGTCACAAAAACATATGTCTCCCAAAACTATGTATCCCTAGAATTATGTTGGGAATCCCGACAGTACTTTGACCTGTGAAAGCCGGACAAGATTTTTTGTGCACAGCTAGGGAGGGTACTGATCACTCCTTTAAAAGTTGGTTGAAATCCCACCAGTGGTTTGACCTGTGAAGGCCGGACAAGATTTTTATATTTTTAGCTCTAGCGGGCATTTGTTGTAGCAAAGCAGAATATGCCAGCGATGTGCACAACAAGGGATGGTACTTAACACTCCTGTAAATCACACCAGTTATTTGACATGTGAAGACCGGAAAAGATTTTTTTCCATTTTTTGCTCTGGTGGCCATTTTGTGAAGCAAAGCGGGACGTGCCGGCGATGTGCACAACTAGGGATGGAAATGATGTCTCCTGTAAAGTTTGTTTTTTGAAATCATATTTAGTAGTTTGACATGTGAAGACCGGACAAGCCTTATGCGGACAGACAACTGGACAGACGAACAGACGGCGAAGAAAAAACAATATTTCGCCCAAACATTTTGGGGGACATAAATAGTACTAATATTAAATGAAGTGGTTTCGTACAATCCGATTTAGTCGAACATAGACACATTAATGTTATTTTATTAGCATATTTTATCATACATTTTCAATAACTTACTTTTATGAATTAACAAAACAGGGTGACACAAAACATATGTTGCGTGTTATGTTAAGTTGTTTTTTAATTGTATTACGTTACGATTTTTAGGTTTTGTTCGTATATAAATAAAAACAAAATCTGCAGTTAACTTATGTACGATCAACATTTTCTTAGCACGCAACGAACAGTAGTTATTTTGAATAATGCATAAAACATCCCATCCCTCTTCATACCGATTATGAAAACAGTTCAAAAGTTTAAGGGAAGACAAATTATGTGTCTTGTGTTTCCAAATTATCTCATTTACAAACATAGAATACACAAATCTGACAGTGATTTAAACTTACATTCAACCTGACACTATATTAAGAGTTCGTCTTGAGCCATAGCTAGGAGAAGAATTCGTCAATGTAAGCCCCTGTCATGACAGCCATATGTTTCAAATTTAAATTCAAATACTCCACTTAGGTAATTATATTTATGTACGAGTGCAGTAGGACAAATAGGCGTTTAATAAAAATCAAACAACCTACTGTTAACGTTAAATTTATAGATACCTAAGATTACCAAATACAAAGGGAAATAACATAAGCCCTCCTCTTTAGGGTACCTCTACGTGGTGAGGAGGAGTAACATATGTCCGTAATGGGGGTGCGCTGTTGTGCGCCTGTATGACGGACATATGGCCAACACCCTGACTGCCTGTTTGCCGTGGGCAGCGTCCCGTAACCTAGAAAAGAGGGTCCTGGTAGTTGAGGGATACCCAGGGATCTCCAGTACTCCCAACACACTGCTTTGGCCTCTGATTTAGGGTAGACGGGTGGCCAAGCGAGCCCGGCTTTTTGGTCAATCGGCTGGTCTTGCCTTGCCCTTGGATATATATTTCTAAATCAATTGCACATTTCATTGAACTAACACGGTCCCAAAATGAAAACAATTCAAAGCACATATTTTGATCCCTAATTGTGATTCTAGTATACCTTTCAATTCCTACTAAAACTGTAATTATGGGTGCCGTTATTTTACAACAATCTTTCACATTTGCATTATAAATACCGTATAACATATCCAAGAAGGCGGTGGCTAATGGGCTAATTGTGTAAATTGTAATTATTTACAATCTATACGAGTATATCTCTCTGGTAGCCTTGTTGTGCGGAGACTGGATATCTGTCTCCATCGCACATCCCCATCTTGGAGTCCGAGGTGGCTGGGGAACCCGGGAGACGAATTTTTCATATCTTTATCATGGATTCCCAAACCAAAAAACGAAAATCGCAAGAAGATTCAATTTGTAACATTTCAGTTGATGGAAGTTTTCCCCGTTTTCTGATAATTAAATCAAATAGCTCAAAATCACTAACTGAACTTAGCCCTTTCATTATAGAAAAACAACTCTCAGCTTGAATTGGTACGCCTAAATCTGTCAAGAAACTCCGCAATGGTGGACTCTTGATAGAAGTAGAGCGAAAGCAACAAGCAAAAAATATTTTGAAAAGCACAACCTTCTTCAATATCGATTCAACTGCCGCGCCTCACCAGTCTCTGAACTCCAGCAAGGGCGTTATCAAATGTGCTGACCTTGCTGAAATGGCAGAGAATGATATTGCTGAAGAGTTAAAATCGCAGCAAGTTTCAAATATCTAGCGCATTTATTCTACAAGAGATGGTAATAGAGTGCCAACGAATAGCCTTAAAGTTACATTCTCTACACCCATTCTACCATCATCGATTCGAGTAGGTTACCTTAAAGTTCGCGTTGTGGTTTACATCCCAAACCCAATGCAATGTTACAAATGCTTCAAATTTGGTCACCATGAATCAAATTGTGCAAGGCAGACTATTTCCCGCAGATGCAGTTCAAACCATGACAAAAATGAGACTTGTAATGTCCCTGTTAAATGTGCCAACTGTGGAGGAGAGCATTACGCCACCTCCCGGTCATGCCCCTTTTGGTTAAAGGAAAAAGAAATTCTACGTCAGAAGTATACGCAAAATATTTCCTTTCAAGATGCACGAAAGCTTGTTGAATCACAAGGACCAAAACAACTGTCGTATTCAGCTGCAGTTACAAAGTCTGTTAAGATGGTTGACTCTGCAGTACAGGTCAACTTATGTCAATGCCCCCCAATTAAGTTACCATTACCTTCAAAGCATACAGCTTCACAAAGTAAGCAGTCTACCTCTGTGCAGACTCAGTTACCATTACAGTCTTCTCCAAAGAAGCAAACCGCAAACATTCAAATAGCATCTTCTGAGAAAGTTATTCAAAAACAATCGCCTAAAGAGCGAATTGTCATCACAGATCGGTTGAAAAAAGCAATGCGGAACCCGATCAACACAGAAAATCGGTTCGATCCACTTCACGACACCCAATTGATGGAGGATGAGGATCTTTACCTAAACATTCGAGAGAATGATAAATAATCAGTTAGTTTGGTATCTAGAAAATAATGGAATTATTACTAATTTTCAGTCAGGTTTTCGTAAACAGCGTAGTACAAACGATCATCTTGTACGACTTGAAACTTTTATAAAAGAAGCTTTTGTAAATAAACAACACATGGTATCAATTTTCTTTGATCTTGAGAAGGCTTACGATATTACTTGGACATATGGTATCCTAAAAGATCTAAAGGATGCTGGACTAAAAGGCAGACTTCCTCTTTTCATTTCTGGATTTTTAAACGATAGGCACTTTAAAGTAAGACTTGGTTCAACTTTTTCTGAGGATCACCAACAAGAACAAGGTGTTCCTCAAGGAAGCATACTTTCTGTTACACTTTTTGGCCTTAAAATAAACAATATTGCTAGCGCTCTTACACCAGGCATAGATTGTTCTCTATATGTAGATGATTTTCTTATCTGCTATCGATCGAAAAGTATGAGAACAATTGAAAGGCAACTTCAACAAAATTTAGATAAAATCCAAAAGTGGGCAATAGAAAATGGTTTTAAATTTTCAAAGTCAAAAACTCAATGTGATCATTTTTGTCGATTGCGGAAACACCATAATGACCCTGAACTTTACAAATCTGGTTCTAAAATTCCAGTAGTTGATGAAGCTAAGTTTTTAGGAATTACATTTGACAAAAAACTTTCTTTTATACCACATATTAAACATTTGAAAACTAAATGCCTTAAAGTTTTAAATTTACATAAGGTTTTATCATGTACAAATTGGGGATCAAATTCTTCCACATTACTGAAATTATACGTCTTATCCGATCAAAATTAGATTATGGTTCTGCAGTATATGGTTCTGCAAAAAAATCATATCTTCACATGCTAGATACCATACATCACCAGGGTTTACGGTTAGCTTTAGGTGCATTTCGCACCTCACCTGTAGAAAGTCTTTATGCGGAAGCTGGGGAACCATTGCTTCAACTTCGTCGAAAAAAGCTATCACTTCAATATGCAACTAGAATTTCATCAAATAGCAAATATCCAGCCAAAAATATTATTTTCAAACCAAGTTATATTGAAAAATTTGTTAACAAACCAAAGGAAATTAAACCATTAGGCCTTCGTTTAAAAGATGATAGATAAACTTAAAATTAATCCTGTCAGTATCCTTCAAAATGACGATGAGGATGTTCCACCTTGGACTTATAATTCCCCTGAAATAAATATTAACCTTTCAAATATAAAAAAGTCATCAAATTCACATGAACATTTCAAAGGGAAGTTTCTAGCAATTAAGGAAGAACATGAAAATTTTATACATATTTATACGGACGGTTCAAAAGAAGGTTGCAAAGTAGGTGCGGCTGTGTTTGAAAATAATTTTACATCTAGTATGAGGTTACCAGATAATGCATCAATTTTTACTGCTGAAGCAAAATCTATCGATTTAGCATTGTCATACATAGCACAGCATACCCACGATAAATTTGTGATATTTTCTGACTCGCTTTCTGTTTTAATATGCATTAAAATAAAAAAAAACTGACAATATCATGGTAAAGAAACTTCTTTTACGATTTCATGATATACTAAAAATAAAATCTGTGGTATCTTTTATCAAATTTGCTCATATTAATTTGATTTGCCCCTTTTATAGACCCTATAGCGCTAAAAATAGGAAAACCTTAAGACATCTTCTTCTACAGAACTAATGGATAGATGATCACCAAACTTTGTCTGTACCATTCCTTGGTAGTCTTTAATCAAGTTTGTTTATACTCATTTGATTGGCCCCTTTAAGGGGCCGCTCAAGCTAAAAATAGAAATACCTTTAAACGCCTATATCTAGAGAACTAATTGATGGGTGATCACTAACCTTTGTCTGTAATATTCTTGGGTAGCCTTTCATCAAATTTGCTCATATTAATTTGATTAGCCCCTTTTAGGGGTCTCTAGAGCTAAAAATAAAAAAAAACAAACTTTAAACGTCTTCTTCTATTGAACTTTTGGATTAATGATCACCAAATTTTGTCTGTAGCATTCTTAGGTAGTCTTTTATCAAGTTTGATCACATGAATTTGATTGGCACCATTTAGGGGCCACTAGAGCTAAAAATAGAAATACCTTTAAATGTCTATTTCTAGAGACGATCACCAAACTTTGAAGCATTATTATTGCGATACTGTGATTATGATCCACTTATCAGTTAAGAATCGATTGAAAAAATAATCTTACTGCTTATTAAATCTTTTTCAAATTTACTTTTTCAGAATGATACCAATGTATATGCATTTGAAGACCTTGATGAACTGACAACCACTTCTCATAATTTTGTCAAAAATATCAATAGTTGTTTTGGTTTACAAGCAACAGAGTAGTAGCAGGCAACATTAAGGGTTCACTGTGTAAACCTCTGTACTACCTACTGAAAATATAACCGGTATACAGAACCAAAGAGAATAAGAGAGTTCATTCTGTTACAATTGAATAAAGGGCCAATGACCATCTATTAAACAAAAGAAAATAACAAAAGAAATAGCAGCTTATCCAATCTAGGTCGCATGTTATGTTTCAGTCAAAAAACTTGTCCTGACTTCTCAAAAACCTTAATGGAATTATCAATACCATGGCCAGTTTTGCATGTTGTCAGCATTTTCTAGTTCATTGATTTTGTAATGATATTTATATTTAAAAAGTTGTCCATACTACATCTCTTTTAAATTTGTATACATGTAGAAAGACATATGCTATCCATAAACTGAAAATAATTGTATATAAATAGTGATAATTGTATATTTTTATATGAGTGTAACAAGTATAAAAATATGAATATATATGTTTGATGATTTAACAAGGAACTTATGGTTTTTACTGCTAATTGTAGAATGATGAGAGTGATGAAATCCATGACGATAGTTTGGAGGATCCTCACTTAGCTACAATCCGGCTGGCGATGTAAGTTATTAATGGAAATTTCATCTGTATAAAATTGCTGGTCAGTTCATTCTGTATAAATGTGTACTGGATTTGGACCACTTAACTAGAACTAATGGATATTTGAATCACCTTATTGTGAGGAAGCTTTCCAGCTAGCTCACCGAACGTCGGTGGTTCTTCTATGGTGCCCATTTGTGCCTGAAATAATGCACTGAAGGGCATCCACCAGTAAAGCTGGAACGTCACCATATGACCTACAATGTGTCCGTGTTACGAAAAATCTTAAATAATCTAAACTAAACTTGATTCACCTGATACTTTTTAATATTTCATATTCAACATCTCAGTTGGACAGTGTAATAAACAAAATATATAGTGTTAACTCATATACAAAAACCTGTGCATGTAAGTCCTACATCAATTTTCTTAATCATTATGCTGAAATGTTCATTAAATGAAATAGAAAATGAAATGGTTATCCCAAAAGCGTGATTGGCAGGATTACCTGCCCTTGATAATATGTATTGATACATTTCACAAGTAAATATCTTTGACCCTTTTTGTAACGAAATCATTTAAAAAGGAATTAAGACAACAAAAGACTTGGGGTATTTTTTCTTTGATTAACACATTCTATAAAGTTACTCAACTTTCTTGTTAAAAATGTACCCAAAGCTAAATGTTTACTAAGAAATGCATTCAAGTTATAGTAACATAATGGAACTTGTTTTCCAAGTTTTAAATAGAAATACTAGACTTTTAAATCTAACAAGTGTAGTAGATACATGTACACCTCATAGACAGGCCAGAAAGTGAATAATTAAATGAATAATTCCCTTGTGTTTAAGCCCTATTGAATTAAGTCAGTGAATATGATTTACACATGCACAGTAAATTGTCATTGCTCTTTTATGATTTGAGTTTAATTCTATTTTAAAGTCCATTTCAGCCAGTGAATACTACACGCAGTGGATATAATTTTTTCAGCCAGTGAATATGATACTACACGCAATGGATATAATTTTTTATGATTTGTTCGGTTGACTACTATCTGTACCAATTCTTTGTTCTTATTTTTAGATCATACAATAATACAAAATACCACTTATGAAACATTGAAAAGAAATGAAATTATTTCAATGTTGTGAATTTTACAATCTCATCCATGTGATAGAATGTTCAAAAATCTCTTTAATTAATAAGGTCTATTAAAATTTAGAGGAGATAATGAAAAACATTTGGCAAATGAAAATACTAGGGTATTTCCCCCCAATAATGCAGCTTATGCAGCTATTGCTTGCTTACATTAATACTGATAAATTTTCATTTTAGGATGAGAGTGCAGAAATGTTGTCAGGAAGCCCACCAGATACTGTTTTAGATCGCAGTGGCAGGTCATTGATGAACAAAGTAATTATATTTGTTTTTTGTGTTAAATACGTAAAAAATACAGAAATAAAATATTAATACAATTTATATCAGACATATGAAATTGGAATATATTATCCTAGAATTTCATTTTTTGAAATAAGTCTGAAATATTAATGCTTAAAGGGACTCAACTAATGTATTTTGACGTGCAGGAATGGAAGTATTTTTTACCACAGGAACAAAAAAAGAAAAGCTAAGAACTGTAAAAAAATAGATTTTCAATTCAATTCTGAATAAACTTCTTTGTTATCCTTTGCAGATTTGTCTATTTTAAGTGTTTAACGTGATTTTTAGGTATTTGTACCTCAGTGGAGTTCCTTTAACTTAATATAACTGAATGTTAATTCTCTACTTATCAGCATATTCAGAACTTATTTGGCAGTATATGCTATATTAATTACAGGCTTTTATCATGGAGAAAATTGAAACATGGCAACCAATGCAGCCAACAGATGAACCTGATGCGACAGTTTCATTACCTGTTGTAAGATATAATATTCATGTATACAAGTTAATTTTTTCATAGATGAAAATATAAGTCACTTTTTTACTGGCTTTGGTGTTGGAATTATTTGTTTCTCTTAATACTCTATCACATATTGCAAATTAAAGAATATTAAATAATATTTATTCTGTTTTGAGAAATTATGCTAATTATGTATACATCTGAGAAGTGAGAAAAATTGTAGTATAGACAGACTGCTGAACAAAATGCACTTAACGTATATAAGACCTCCAACAGCTTCATGAAATTAGCAAAAATAAATGTTATTCAGGTTTATTCATTGATAATAATAACAATACAATGCAATTATTATTTTTTGAATATTAAACAAAATCAGGAACAGGGTTTAAATGGATAATTTGGATGTTTATAACAAAGGAATTGATCTTTGTTTTTTGTTGAGTTTGCACTTGGCTTCAGTTATCATGAAACAATGCTTTTCAGATAAATATATGTGAAGATTCACTGAAGACAGTTATGGCAGGAAGACCAGAAAAGGTTACCCCAGAGAATGGTAAGGCAGGAAATGTAATAGGCATCACCGAAGTGGAAGTAACAACAGAGAGCAAAGAAAACAACATGGAAGAGGATAGTAAAAAAACCGTAAGAAATAACAATTTTTCACTGATTTTCGGATTGCATCAGGCATTTCTCAACAACAGACATGTTTGGCTTTTTACATCATGTTGATGTATAAGAGAACTTTCAAGTGTATTTATGCTCATTTTAAGCATGTCTATTTTGAAGAAAAAGTCAAACTAACATGATCACTGTGTTGTTGTCTTTGTGCAAAAACTTTAGTGTAGCCCATTATTCAAACATTTGAAAATGTATCAAGCAGGACTTGCTCTTTATGGCACGATGCAATTTTATAACAAGGAGCCTCATTCTCAAAGCTATATAAATGTCCCCTGTTTAATTTTTTTAATTAGTTATTGATAGTCAATGCCTTTAACAGTCGAGAGCATTTACACCGCATGCTATGCCCTTGTTTCATTGTCAAATTGAGATGAAGTTACTTTATTTCAAAAGAATGATTGCTATTATGGTGATCGACCAAACAGTTGATATTGGAAAATGTTTGGAATGAAATATAAAAAGGCAACCTCACTCATTTTATAAACTGAAAATTACAGATTAATTCCATTTATACAAGTTACCATGGGCCATACAAATTATTTATTGGAAGTAAATTGAAAAATTTAAAGGAATCATACCAGGATGTAAATTTATTTTTAATTTCACTTCTTCACACAATATATTAACTAGGATGGACATGTGACTATAACAAAATGACTGTTTTAATGTATGTAGATTAGTATATGTAATTGTACTATTACTTTATTACAGGATGATAACAGAAATGAAAGGAGGATAAGAAGAAGGACAAAGGTATGAACTATTAATTTTATAGACTTTATGGAAGGAAAATGCTGTTACAATATTACTTTATGATATTAATTAGCAATTTCAAAGCGAGATTTTTTTTTATGAAATCTTACTCTGTAACTGGCATGAAAATCATGTATTATGTATGGTAAATTATCAGCAAGCTTTGTTTTGGGTGTATATATATGAAAGCCAGAGAACAAAGTCTTTGTCATCTTTTATACAATCCAGCCCCGATGATTTGAACTGCCTTGGGACTGAAAATTTATTTTGAATAATTGATTGGTACAGTATTAATATAGTGACAGGCAACAACTACTCAACTTTGACAATACACAATTTTTTGCAAAACTTCTGTTAACAACACACATGTGTCCATAATCAATCTAGAAAAAAAAATAACAATAAGAAAAGTGAAAAGATTAACTATATAGGTATTCAAGACATAATTACATGCATTTTATTCCAAATTTTATAGCTCATAGAGCATGTTTGCGAACATATACATTAAAAAAAGTTCAGATATATGATATAGAATTTTAATCTTAATTGTGGTTGATCATTTATACAAGCAATATATGGATATCTTTGCTAGCGTTAACATAATGCACTTATTGATTTATATATACAAGGTATTGTTTGCTTGTTTGTTTTTCAATTATTTGATTAAAATCATTAATTTGAACACTTTAAACCATACAACTACTAAAACTGAAATCACTTGCATACAATTAATATTTGGTAAATAAACTTAAATGAAGAGCAAATAACAGGAGGACTGTCGAAATATTGAACAGCATCAGTCTGGTTTTGAATAATAGATGTGAAATCTTTAATAGTTGTGTTATTGGTATCAGAATTGTACTTTATGAGGGTTTCGGATTTCGCATTTCAAATTAAACTTTGTTAATTGATATATACAAACAGATGTGAAAGCCTATTTTCTTCGAACAATGCCCGGTATTGTAATAAAGGGTAGTTGAATAAACGGGGTCAGATTATAAATTATTTGGGGTCTTGTTTGGTAATATTGTCCATGCAAGTGAAATATGCGATATCGTTTACTGCTTTTCATTTATTATAATACATTTTAATATGGCACAGGCATTGATAGTTAAAGGATCATTGCATTTAAATAATATATTTCATTGTTGCAGTCTTCATCATTTGCTGTTGAAGAAAAGGTTTTGCCAGTGTTCAAGTATGCAGGGAAAGATGGTCCAACCAAGTGGCACGAAGCAACCATACAAAACTCCATACTAAATAGTACATTTCGTTTCTATAATGATATGTAGACATGTCAAATAAAATGTACACCTGGATCTAGAATGAACCTTTTAAAATGGATAAAGTACATAAAAAATTAATTATACAAATAGATTGCATTATAAAGATTGTGCACGTAATGTTATTTTATTTATTGTTTAGACATATGATAGAATGATTATATTGGCAAAAACTTAGATTACTCAAAAAAAAATATTAAATTATTTTCATATACCTTTCAACACGGATAGATGCCAACATGGAGATAATCACACTTTATTTTGATCTTATGTAGGGAACTGCTGCAAATTTAGTAGAAATATTGCCAAAATGGTTATGCACTTGAAATTTTGTAAGAGAAATGTGCAATCATATTTTATTTCATTTTCAGGATTGCGATATAGTGTCAAATTTGATGATGGAATTGTAAGGATAGTGAAAAGAAGTGAGATACAGTCAACATAAAATATAGTAAGGATTTGTGTGATGTGAAATATTTGAGCAGACTGATTTATTTTCCCATATCTTTATATTAATAAGGAGTGCTATCAGATAAAGGTGTATTGTGCCACAATTCTGTTAATTTTTTGTACCACCCCACCCTTTGAAGGTGTTGCTTTCCAAAGTGATCAGCTTCCTATTTCAGGAAAGGGGAAAGAATAGTCCTTTCAAAATCTTACCGTGCATCCTCTTTTTTTCAGACATCAAATTTTTACCACCCAGCTTATTTATAACATCTTTCATTTAATACTTTGAATAATAGGAAACAAAAAAATATGACCAAATTACATCCTTCCCTCCTTTGACGTATACAACTAATTTATCTCTGCTTGCTCAAAATATCACTCAAAGTGACACTGTGAGCTTTTGTGATTGGTTTTTCTGGAGAATTGTTTTATTCAGATGAGCGATTGGAGGGTCATTATGGCCCTCTTGAAATCATAATTGCTAAGTAAATTTTAGAAGTTACTCCTTAAAAGTAAATTTTTCGTGTAATTACTTTAGAGTATATTTGGGTATCAATTGTTATTCAAAAGTTCTATTTATGAACATTGTAAGAGTCAAGAGAACAAAAAATGTTTTAATTAGTAATTTTTTTTCCCATTTTTTTTATTTTGTTAAAATGTTTGAATTGCCGAAATTTTAAGCAGCATGCCTCCAGATTCATGTTAATTTTCATGAAATTTTTAAATGTTTGTTTGGATTTTACGGCACGTCAACACATAAATGGCCATATTGTGTCGAATGCTATAATAGGCTTACAATATTATGTAAAACTCTGCAAATGACAACGAAAATGAGCCAATTAGATCCTTGAATACAAGTTTATCTCTTTCAAATAATCGATTATGTTTTTTGACGGAATTGTATTAAAGAGTTCTTTGAGTGAATTTACATTATAAAATCTCTTACGGGCCTGTGAAAAATCATGACATTCAAGAAGAAAATCCTTGAGAGTAACATTTTCATTGCAAGCTTCACAGAAAGGGGCATAGTCATTCCTGAGGAGATAAGAGTGGGTAACTTTAGTGTGTCCAATTCGGCATCGAAGAAGAACTGTTTGATCATGGCGGTTTGACAAAGACAGAGATCTTGACACATCAAGAGATGGGTTTATATCATGAAGTTTATTAAAGACGGCATTGTCCCAATTTGCTTTCCATTCAGATGAAACGAGTTTATGTAATGTATGTCAATGTATGGTATTAATATATGAAGTGAACCCAGAAAATAATAAACACATTTCAAACTGCAATTCAATCAAGGTATATAACATGATAAAAGCTCATACTATGTAAAAATAATCCTTACTTTGTTAGATAGCATTTAGAAATATGGGGATAAAAAACTGGAAAATGTGTCGTTAATTGAACATAACAAATTATTACTTAAACCTCTAATATTTTTCTTATTCTTAAATTCTTAGTACATTTTCGCTAGTGCAAATTTTTTAAAATATTTTGGCTCATCTGGTGGCATGCAGCTTTTAAGGCACAATTTACAATTTATTGTCATTAAAGTTCTAATGTATAAAAGCTTTATATGTTTTGCAAATGTACCATATACTTGCATGGATGTAAAAATCAAGTACAAAATAAATATGCAAAATAATATATGTTTTAGTTTTAGTATATTACTACATTTTAATTTAGCTGATTTTAATGACACCGTGACATACCTTGCACAAAATGTGCATGTTTAATACATTTGTGCATTGTACAGCGCTTATTGTCAACCCAAAACAATTAAATTCAACTGCACCTCAGCTATTTAGAGTGGAGTCAAAAGCATATTTGTTTATAAATGTAAGTAAATGAAAATGCTGCTGTCCAAAGTTTCCATTATGAATAAATGATATTGAAATAAGTAGATCTATGTCTAGTCAATTTGAAAGATCAAAAAATGCATTTTGTAAAGGGAAAATGTAAAGTTAATTTTTGCAGTCAATATTTTCTACTTAAATATTACTACAGGGTTAAGTAAAAGACAACTAGAAATTACTATAATTGTAGAATTGAAGTGTAACTGAACTTTGGCTACTCAGACATGCAAACTTGGTGATATGGTTGATGGTCTACATATTACCTATTGATAAAACTTCCCGTATTGAAAAAATCAAATTTGGTATAACTGATATCAGTTTACATAACATATCTGGAAGTATAAAACCAAAATCTTGTTGGTACTAGAGTTCCAGACTATCTGTTTTGTTCGCAAGGAACAGCATCAGATTATTAAATCAGGGGTTACTGGTTTGATCCTTAGACAAAGGGTATTTTAATGACATTCAGTCAAATAGTCGTTTCTCACCGCTCAGTAGTCAGCCAATAGCAGAGAAATTGGTTATTACTAGTAGCAAGTTGCCTGGATCTACCACCAAGATAAAACCAAAACTTTTTAAAATTGGCGTTGAAACCAGAAAAGTAGTACAATCCCATAATAGCCCTAGATTGCTTACCTGAATTACAATGTCGGGGAAATGGCATCATTCTTCAATGCAGAAGTAGACCTGTACCGTATTTGAGGTGGACATATTATTTAGGCTCCTTATTACAAGCAGGCATAAAAACTCAATGACCTGAATTCCATTTGGAAAGAAATTTTAAAGAAATCTGTCTCTAACTATGCAAAACAATGTAAGAAATGGGCCCCCATCGGCCTCAAGTCAAGATTCATTTAAATTCAGAAGGCCGTCAGGCCTTGTTTAATGCAAAGTACTGGACAAATTGTTTGGGAGAACAAACCTTAAAATTACTTTAAGGATTATTTGTTTCAATCGCCAGTGGGAGAATTGTATTTTGGACAATCATCACTAAAGTGGGGGCAGGTCGTTATGTTGCAAATCGTCAATTGGGCAAACTGTCAGTATGCGGAATCATTATCAATCCTATAAAAGATGTTGATTAACAGTATTCAAAAAAAAATTATATAGTAAACTTACAAATGCTTAGTTAAATAAAATGGACATGTTCTGTGTTTTTTTTATCTTTTGGTGATTTTTTTGTATAGAAGACGACGTTTAAAGGTGTCTCCATTTTTAGCTCTTAAGACCCCTAAAAGGGGCCAATCAAATTAATATGAGCAAACTTGATAAAAAATACCCAAGGATGCTACAGAGAAAGTTTGGTGATCATCAATCAATAAGTTCTATAGAAGAAGACGTTTAAAGGTGTTTTTTTATCTTTAGCTCTAGAGACCCGTAAAAGGGGCCAGTCAAATTAATATGATCAAACTTGAAAGAAGACTACCCACAAACAGGCGAAGTTTGGTGATCATCAATCAATTAGTTCTGCAGAAATAGACGTTTAAATGTATTTATAATATTAGTTTTAGCTGCCCCTAAAAGGGGCACATCATAATAATATGAGCTAACTTGACTTGACTTGACTAATAAGACTACCCAAGAATGCTACAGACAAAGTTTGGTGATTATCCATCCAAAAGTTCTCTAGATATAGATGTCTAAAGGTATTTCTATTTTTAGTTTAAGCGACCCCTAAAAGGAGCCAATCAAATTAATATGAGAAAACTGGATAAAAGACTACCCAAGAATAATACAGACAAAGTTTGGTGATCATCCATCTAATTGTTCTGTAGTAGATGTTTAAAAGTTGTTCTATTTTTAGCTCTGTTCACCCCTAAAAGCGGCCTATTGAAATGACATGAGCAAATTCAAGTGTTACTGTCACAAGGATGCTTCAAACCAAATTTGAAGTAAATCTGCCTAGCAGTTTCACTGAAGAAAAAAAATCTGGAAACAAAGTGATCCCTCTGAAGCATTAATCACAACAAAATTACAAGAGAATTGCAGACTAGGTTTGATTGAGCCTGTACATGAGGGATAATGAATGTGTGCAACATCCCTCACGCTCCCCTAGCACTAGCTTGAGCGGTACTCAATTATCAACACTTAATAATGCTGGTATCAATGATCCCGAAGGACCAGAAAAATATAACAACACTCAAGTGAAGTTCGGGGCATTTTTTTACAGCTGCCACACAGCACAAAACGATTGTTTACGCATGACGACGGACGTCGGAGTATCCCCCTTTGATATTAATAGCTCACCCTGAGCCTTCGGCTCTGGTGAGCTAATTATATATTGTTCCAGATTCAAATGTATTATCACTTAATGTTGATTTATTTATTCAGTAATAATTGCTGATACACACTACTATCATGAGGACCACAATATAACACGTTGCTCTTGTCTGTTTACTTGTAAACGACAATGTACTTTCAGAAATTCAAAGGTCCATCGAATGACAAATACTGAGACTTGTCTCTTGTAATGAACTAATTAACAAACATATAATGCACCCCTAGTCATGAATTATTCTTAAATGCAAATACACAGCTCATCTCACAGTTTATATCGGAATAGGTTTAATAGAATGTCAAGAACATGGCATTTCTCTTTTTCCTGACTAAGTAATCATTCATGCGAGATTCACAAGATTCGTGTCTGCATTTGTGATTAGATGTAAATATGGGTCTTCAAAAAATGCTTTTCTGGTACCATTTTGTGGTTTCTTTTGAAAAATGGCACGGAATACCTACACAACGTAAAACTGTGCAATTTAATGTAGAAATCTAAAAATCTACGTTTGGTGCATCTATAGATATTTACTTGAAACTTTTTATAGCTTTAAGCCCCATGTTAACAATACGTATAGTTTAGCACTTTTAGATGCGGGTAAAAACAGATTTTTTTTATTTTGAAATACGCATTGAAAAAAACAAGTGACACAATCATTCTTATGTCAGTTATTTTCAATTTGATTTAATTTATTCGAATATTAAGAATATGCGTTTAAGCATTAGGAATGATTTTTACAAACTCTAGCTTTAACTCATTACTTTTTCATGGACAAGTGCTAGTAACTATGTAAATATGTTAGAGATAAAAAAAGATAAGTCATTCAAATGTAACTTCTTAAAAAACAGAAAACGGTTATATTTCTCAGTTTTAAGCTGCATGTATCACACTCAATACCCATACATGTAAATTATGATAATTCTTTGTCCATTGCTCGTCGATCGAAATCAATACAGAAAACCAATATATCATTTAAGTAATTAAAACTAAGCTCAGGAAATTCCATCAAAATATTTATAAATTGCCTTGCATTTAAAAGTCATCTAAATTACTAGGAAGACGAATAGATTGAAATGAATGGAAGCCTAGAATATTAGTCTTTACTTTTTGTAATCCTCTTCCGCGTAGATTACAGGAATGACCTCCGTCTGCCAGTCCGTCCGTAACACTTTCATACCCGCTCCATAACTTTTAAACCGCTGACATTTCTTTGAAATAGCTTGGCACAAGTGATCACCATAA